TAGATTGACTAGCCTATAGGTAGGGTGAAGCCCTAGCCTACATTGTAAAACTAAAATAAGACAGTACCACTTGCAGTTGTTACAAAAAAAAATGACTTTTACGACAAAATGACCCTATATACAAGATTACACTTAAACAAAGAAATTACACTTGAACAAAGAATCTACACTTGGACAAAAAATAGGCCTAGCCTTACGATAAATTTCACATTTCTAAACCTTTGTTCGATTCAGGTGAGAGACCATACAGTCCCAAGTCCCAGATCCATAGGACCTAAATAAATCGCTAAAAGTTTACTTAACTCAGAACAAAGTAATTACTCACAATAAAATACTTGAACAAACTTACCACAACTGAAAATAAAAACTTTAACATTGTGGCAACACGTGGTAATCCTGGCAGTGTGTGGAGCAACAGAAAAAAACTAACTCAATTGATTAATTAACGATGAAAATCACTTACCCAACATAATTAAATTACGACGACATTCTTAGTAGCTCGCCCCTTTGATGAAAACTCCGAACAAATCTTGAAGACCACATTTAAAAGGTATTACAACTTATTAAAATCATCAAGACGGAGAAAAGGTGGCGAGTCGTAGACGTAACCCAAGAAGACTGGCAGTAGCCGACAACCCAAACGGCCCCACGAAACCGGAAATTGACGAAAAAACTGGAACGTTGCAAAGTTCGAGAAGCTTCTAGAAGCTCAACGGCCTGCGAATGAAACAAGCGGACACTTCCGCCTAAAAAAAACATATACATGTAATAGAAGACCTGAGCCGTCAACTCGCACTGCTCAAGACGAATTCGTTAACTACGAAGGAAAGAATGTGGTTCGGATTCCACTCTTAACTGTAGGTCCCTTAGTTGCCATTAGCTGTTTGGGCTATTAATTCACAGCTGTGTCAAAGGAACATGTCGGCCTTAGTCACTAACAAGAACAAGACTACAAGATCGCGCCACTCATCCTACACTCATCCTTCACTCATATTTGGGTTAAAATACACACATAGTGGCGTCCCAATCTTAAATAATTGAATTGAATTTGTAAGCTCTTTTTACCTCCTAAAATACACATTTATACCAATTTTGAAATCTTGAAAAATGTTCAAGATATAAAATAAATCTTAAAAATCACATAGTGTACAACATCGACAAACAGAAATCTAGGAATTTTAAACCCATACTTTATTTGTATTTTAAAATGTTTGTCTGTATTTTATGTTTGTCTTAACCTAAGGAACAAGTTCACAAAACATGTCCAGGCAATTTGGAAACACCCTGTATAAAGGAGGTTTGATAATTAATTTAACATTTAACTGTTTGTCTGTAGACTAAGATAAAAACTCCGGAGTGAGAACAGAATACATACTACTTACATTGTTCATCCCCTGAAATATTTAAGTGATTTGATTTATTACAGTATTAAGTTCCATGATACACAAGTGTTTTAATATATAGGTCAGGATCCGGTAGGGGGATCGTTCTCTGCTAGTTTATCAAAATGTTTTTAAATTTTGTTAACCTTAAATGTTAAATTTGTTGCCTTAGTTCATTCTCACTTTTTGGCCTAACAACATTAAACGATGTCAACATATTACTTACATTAATGTTTTTACTTATTTAATACAATTATTAAATGATTAAATTTAATATTAATTAATTTAATATTTAATAAATTTTGCTTGTGCCGCATGAACTTCCTGTTTCTGGGCTCTTCTTTTTTGTTTTTCTGAACCTCTTAAATGTTCATAACGTTTCATGATGAAACAGTTTATACATATTTAATTAATCACAAAGTCCATCACATTACGCACTCAAATAACGTGTCTAGTTCATGTCCGGTGACACTGATCGCTAGTGTCGATGAAATTTTGTTTATATTATTTTAGGGTTAATTTCAGGATTTGCCCTTTACTGTTTGGTATTAAGACAAGGGGACGAGTCATTGTTTATGATTAGATCGTTTTATTTGGCTAAATGACGTTTAAATGACTGAAATGACAAGTGTGACGCTTGCGTCACAGCGGAAACGCGTCGAACGGTAAATCCGCTGATACCTGGAGAACTTGGGGAGGGGATGGGAAGCGCAGAGAGACAGAGTAGTGGTGTTCTGGAGCCAACGGTGTTCGCGTGCTGGTCAACGCTGGACATTATCATCGAACAATAAGTTGTCTTTAGGTTTAGTTAACTAAATGAATATGTTCTAATTTTTTTCAGGAAGGGGGGGGGGGATTAAAGGGGAAATAATAACTATTTCAGCTTAATATGTAAATTATACTTTTTCAGCACACTCGTACTCTTAATGCGCGAGTGGAAGTTTCACTTGTTCTTAACTTTATTATACAGTAGACTCCCTCTTATCCGGACTCCTCGGGACCAACGCCAGTCCTGATAATGGGTTTTCCGGGTAAACCGATGTCCCCAAAAACTCGTTAAATTGGACCGTTGCATATTGCAAATGCATACTGTATACTGTATTTGAGTTAAATTTAGGAGAGCATTGTATTTAGACATGTGATTACTGGTCTCAAATCTTTCCCACGAGAACGGTCGTTTGAGTACCGCCCACTTCCTGCCGATCTACTCTGGTTAAACCGATGTGCTGATAAAAATTGTCCGGTTAAAGAGATGTCGTTTCTGCCAAGTGTAGTCCGGTTAAACCGATGTCCGGTTAAAAGATGTCCGGATAAGAGGGAGTCTACTGAATTAAATCAGGTGCATTAGAAATATTAGATCATCAAAATGGCTGTGATATGGATGTGGTTTGGTTCAGTAGTTAATTTAAGTTTATTATTATTCAACTCAGAATGCCGCACGCAGCAATAAACTGATTATATTGAGCCTTAACGATCCTTATGAGTCCAGTACCGTTACTATAAATTATAGTACACGCTTCAATAATGGTCAAAATTTAACAAAAAAAAACATTTTTCTTCATCAAACACGTAGGAACACGTGTATCGGCCTCATGCTGCAGCACGCTAGAGTTGGACCAGTAAAATCTTAACCGGTGAACACATGGTAGAGTTGGAATTCAGATTTAGTTACAAGTTGAATTGAATCAAAGGGAATTTAACTAATGATTAACAACAATTAATTAAAAGGAAAAATGTTAAATTTCAAATGTTTTCTAAATTACAAATTAAGGTAAATGAATTTGGTGTTTTGCGATCAGGGTGCACGTACGTTGGGGATAATAGAATTTGGAGTATATTTTATTAATGTTTTACAGGTTTGATTGGGTGAATAATTGTGATGCTAGTTGAAATAAATGTTAAAATAAAATGTATTGATACCTTTAAGTAAACCTAGTTCATGTTTCAGTCTGAAGCTTTTTGGCATATGTCTGAAAAGGTTAGCACGAGGAGAAGTAATAAAATGATAAAAAAAATGTAAATAAATAATAAAATGTAAAAAAATATATGTATATAGAGTGTAGACAAGAAAGGAATTTAATTTGAACGAGCATTGCGGTTGTTTACTATTTGTATGAAATTGGTATAATATGTTAAATTAAATAGCGGTATTTAATAGTGATGAACAGTATTTTGTTTGTAATATGTAAATGTGTAATGTGAGCGCATGCACTAGAGTAGTTTTGGAGTTATCTGAAGAGGAGTTGATCTGTGGTATGAGTCGCAGGAAGTGAGCAAACAATAGAGTCAGATAACAATAGTAGCAAGCGTTGGATTAGGTTTGGGGAAAATTTCCAGCCTAGATAGAAATGTTTTCAACTCAGTTAGTGTAAATTGTAATATCCCTTCAATAAAGTAAACAATCGTCAATGAATTGTTTAAAGGGAAGGTGTCTGCAGTTAAATAGTGAGATAATAATATTAAAATATTTAATAATGAATGAAAAAGTAAAAAAAAAAAGATTATTCAACATGTGGTAGGAATATTTTTTTTTTAAACAAACAGTTACCATTAAGCATTAGGTGATTCCATGATCAAAAGATTGAATTATTACACCATAAACACATCACAATGTCCCTTGGTAATAAACAGATCAATTGGGATATCAGGAGCTAGAATTCATATGGTAAAACAATTGTTAAAGTAAATGACTAATTTCTGTTGAATACACAATGTTTTTTACCAAGTCAAACTTATGGAATGACTTATTATGAGCTATGGCTACTGTTATGACCCATCAACACTGTAAGCAACAAAAAATTAGGTAGAAAATATAATTTTAGACACACATTCTGTGGCTGGCTCACATAACTACATGTTTTTTAATTAAAAAATGGCGACGGCTGGTCCATATAGATGGGAGGTCTACTTCAGTATCCAATAGTCAATGGGTGTACATTACATATTTTTGGTTGAATTGTCGACCACTTGACGACCACTAGTCTTACTTATTTCCTATAATCAATGACAAAATCATAGACTAAATCAAATAAACTCATGGTTCTATAGAATATTTTTATATCCATCCAACTATTAGTTCAAACAAATTATATTGCACTAAAACAAATCCAAGATTTTAATGACTGCTCTTAAAATAAATTAGAACCTTTAGTATTTTACTATGAATACTTAAATAATCTTTCATCCTCTTAACAAATAAATTAACGCATCAATGATTATAGCATCACACATACTATAAAAAAAGTCAACCCTACGAATGTCACTTAATTTTTATCCAAATGCAGAATTTGTGTCACAAACGCTGAATGTTTACAGCTGTTACGTTAAGCAAATGTTATATACCAAAAGCTAGTCTAGAATGTTAGCGTTGCCTGCTAGACTTAAAAAAAATAAAACTTATTAAAAAAAAAAAAAAAAAAAAAAAAAAAAAAAAACTTAAAATCTTAACCAAAATTATGGCTTTGACTTTCCCTAGTTTTCTTTCTAAATCATCTTTCTTTCAATACAAAAGTCATGGAAATCCGTCAAGTGGTTAATTCAGAATTGTGAAATAAAAAAAACCTGCCACGTTTTTATTTATTATATATGATTGCTGATTAATGAGGGTGTTTTATATAGCCTCGTAAAGTGGTGGTAGAACAGCTGTTGAGAGTGCTGCCGTCGGAGGACTGTGTACCAGAACAGCTAATCCTAGTGAACACTGGAGACCCTCTGGGAGCTCTACTGGCTGCCAAACTGACGGAGCGTCAACACAAAGTCATATGTATGGCCAGTAGCGCTGATGTCAGAGCCACTGTCTTTGCACTAGTCAATAAGATACAAAAGTTGTGAGTACAATCATCACTTAGAGACTCTGTTTCTTGTCTTATTATTTCTAGTTTATTTCACCTTAAATGCTATGAAGTTATCAGTTAACTTCATTCACTTAAGTTATAACTTCATTCAGTTAAAAGTTACTTTTAGTCCATATGAGCTTACTTTCTTTAGCATGGTATTATTTTCATAGATGGCCTAATGGTAACACACTTCGTAGAAAAAATATATTTTTTTACGACCCTCAAAACATAGGGTAAGCAATTTTTGAAAGTTACATATTTCTTTGCTGTCATAATTTGTATAGTGCTAACCATCACTTTGCTTCTCACACAACAGGGTACCAACTTCTTGCTGTTCCTCTTTAACTCTCTCAAGTCTCTTGGCAGTTTTTGTTGTGTACTGGTAGTTGATTCTGTGTGTGAATCTTTATACATTGAAAACACTGTTATATTGAAACCAACTACAGTAGACTCCTTCTTTTCCGGACACCTTTTAACCGGACTACACTCGGCGGAAATGACATCTCTTTAACCAGGACATTTTTTATCAGCACATTTGTTTAACCGGACTAGATTGGCAGGAAGTGGACAGTACTGAAACGACTGTTCTCGTGGGAAAGATTTGAGACCAGTGATCACGTTTCTGAATACAATGCTCTCCTAAATTTAAGTTGAATATCACAGTAAACAGTCCGTTTTAACGAGTTTTAGGGGACGTCGGTTTACCGGAAAACCCGTTATCCGGACTGGCCTCGGTCCCGAGGAGTCCGGATAAGAGGGAGTCTACTGTATGTTGAAATAATTGTTAAAAAATGTTTTAATAGTAATAATCTTGAACAACAATATGAGTTTGACAATTTTTAACACATAAATTCTATTTAGGAAATAGGAAAATTGGCAAATCTGTCTTGAAAAAAATTGTGTTAGAGTCTTTAAGTTAACAAATTTGTATGTCTCCTTCCGTGCTCTTTGTTATATTTTAAACCGGCTTGAACTATTTTAAAAAATTACCTATATTCCTTTAAATAATGTTTACTTCTATTTTTTTTATAATGTGCAAAAAAGTTTCATATGTTGGGTATAGTAAATTATTAATATAAGGAATAGCGTGTGAATAAAAAAAGGTGATACATAATGGTTTCAATGTAGGGCAAAAGTCAAGTTTTACTCAAAAGATTTTCGGATTTCAACTCATTTTACCTTTGCCAATATAATGAAATATTTGGAACATTTAAGTGTACTGTACTTCAATTTTAAATTACTCCCCTCCATGTTCAAACATATTCAAAGATAGAAACTTTGGTGGTTGTCATCAATGATCAATCTAATATTCTTTAAAACTAACTCAAGTGATATCACTTTCATTAATCATCTATTTAGTATCAGCCTAGTATCATTGGCTTAAAAAGGGGTAAATACAAAAACGCAAAATAAGACCACGAATATCAATGAAAACTGCTTTAGCCAAGAGCGTATGCTGAGACACACGCGGCACAACGCATGGAAGAATACTGTGCCAACTTGTTTCCTTATGTCTCTGCATAAGCTGAGACGCACAAGTGTATGTGTCTGACACTTGCACAGCCCGACATGTCACAGTTTGTAGCACAGACACAGATTTTCCTACTCACACTACGCAACTTGTGTGCAATATGGCAACAAACAAGCATCTATTGAGTGTGTACACGAATTATTTGTGCTGTGTGTATGATGTTAACAATGAAGATATGAAATGGCATGATTGGACTATTGTGTTGTAATAAAAACATTTGTTTTTCTGATTTTTGACTCCACATAACATTTTGCAATTTTTGTTTAAACCATTTTTAGAGCTTAAATCCCCAAACAGTTTGGTAAACCAAAGATTTATAGTAAGCTTAATAATAATACGAGGGTTATTGCAAAATTAAGGTCCTATTCGCTGTAACTATTTGAAGTGGGCGATGGACAAAACACCCATGTGCACCGGCTCCCGACATACCTTGCACGTCAGAAATTCGTAAGCGTAGCGAAAAAGCTCCGACCTAAAGGTGAGTAAGTAGAGGTGTGCGGATAGTGAAATTTCATTTCGGATCGGATAGTTGAGGCTCGGATCGGATATTGGGAGGTTCGGATTCGGAAATTTTCGGATTCAGATAGTTCGGCACGGTTAATAATAAGCTGCATATGCATTTTTAACCTATAAAACACTGTAAAGCTGTGTAAATAAACTTAAATGACGATTTTGAATCATAGAATTTCAAATTAGCCACATCCACAGTTTTTTCTCTCTTGAAAATCACAATTCACAACATCTATTTTCAAAAGTTGGTTGCTTGAATTAAGTACACTAGAAGCCGAAATCTTCACACAACACTTTAGCTCAGCAGGACTGATGTCAAAACGTTTGGGCTTGTTTACTTGAGGTTATGTTTTATGTTGTTTCCTGGTTCTCACAAGACAAGGAGTTCTATCTCAAGTTTATTTTCACATTGTATTTCCTTACGTTTTTGGAACAGATTAGTGGCCTTAAGTGGCATTCTGCGGGTGTGCCAAGTTTAGAAAACATCACTAATGCACTAAGCTGGGCTCTAGATTTGATGTTGTGGCAAGTTAATTAGGGCAATTAGGCTTTATAACTCTGTAAAAGGTGTGTATCCCTGAATTTATAAATTTCATTCTACATTTATTCACTGCCAAACATAGTCCAGTAGAACCTTGATGAACCGAGAATTACACTAGCCTTAGCCTACATAACTTCATTACCCCAAGTAAAATACCAAGATAATTTTTAAAATTGTATTTGAATAGTATAATCTTAGTTTGTTAAAAATGGATTGTGTATTCAACAATTATTGCAGTCCGTTATATTGTTATGCAGTATGGTCCCAAATTATTGTTTTTGATTTTGAAACATCACAGTTCAATTGAAAAAATTAAAGTTGAAGCAGCCCAATGTCAAGTCACGCTTGTGCAATAGTTTTTTTACATGCTTTCTCCAGACCACTGGGGAGGGTCGGGTCTGATAAGCAGGCTATTGTCCACCCCCCAAGGCTTTCCACCCTCATTAGTGCCGCTCCCCTCATTAGTGCCGCTCCCCTCATTAGTGCCGCTCCCCTCATTAGTGCCGCTCGGCTGCACTCAGTGGGGAACCCAATACCACAAATCAATCTTTTAAATGAATAAAAATATTTGGTCATAATTGTTTTATTGATATTCACCTTGAAATTTCAATAAATTTGGTGTAAAATTTGACAAAAATTGGCCAATTCATTAATACAGTACCAATAAAGTACATTTGTAATTGAATACCGGTAATAGGTAAAAATTAACCAAGTTTTACCCCCTGCTGTGCCGCTATGTCACAAAAGCTGATAACGACATGGGTGATTAGTAACCATGGCTACTAGGCAACTTGTTGAATGCGTGATGAAGGGAAACCCAAGAAATAAAAGAACAAAGAGAAAGTATAATGACGTTGTTATCTTTATACCCTTTTTACAATTGCTGTTATTGTTATTTATTATCTTTATGTAAGATTTTATGATTTTGTTTTATAGGTTTATAAAATAATTTTTTTTTAAACATGGGAATATCAATTTATAATTTATGAACGTGCTTCTCTTCTGAAACAGCAATACCGGATGCATAATAAAGGTCAATGACCTAAAATATCATGATTATGCAATGTTGTATTTTGATGTTGAAATTCAAATCATGACAAAAGTTTGTACATTTCCCCTGGTCCCTATCATTTAATCATTTAATATACACAATCAATGCTAAATAATCGTGGTTAGTTCTAATTTTATTTTTTATTATTCAAAGTTTCTACACAATAAGACTATCCAAAGTCAAACCGGGCAATGAATACCCGAAAAACAACGTATCTTGTCCTGTGATTGGAATACCACTCGCCAGTCCTTTGGATTTAGGGAAGTAGTGCAAGTCTATATATAGCTTCAAGGTCGTTGGAAACGTATTGCTGTAATTTTGTCCTGGGAAACTAATGATCGTTATGGAGATTTAGTTTTCTGTCTAAAACGTCAAAATATGTTGTCTATCCAAAAAAGTCGGATATGTAACGGATAGTGTCGGATATCAAATTTAGGCTCGGTTCGGATAAGGATATCCGAACCGAACCGAATCCGACCTGATTTTTCGGATATCCACACACCTCTATGAGTAAGCATAACAAACGAACTTCAACCAGGACGTGACTGAGCGATGCAAACAAGTTTTTACGTAAAACTACATTAGGACAGGACGACGTCTGTCGGGCCAGCTAGTAAATTATATTTGTGGTGTGTTGATGTCTCATTTAATCTCCATTCCTACAAAAAACAACTATCTAATTTAATTTATAGGCTAGTCCAGCGTAAACTAAATTTTCAACCAACAACCCTCCATATTGTCATTCGGCGGAGCTAGCAAGGGGACTTTCCTCTCCCGCTCTGATTATCTTCGGGTCTGGGCGTTCACTAGGCATCTCCATCTTCTTCTGTCCTTCCACAATTCCACTTCCCTCACATACTGCCATTGCACTCCTCTTGCTTCCACATCACGTTTCACCTCGTCAAATCACCTTCTTCTGGGTCTTCCTCTTGGACTTCTTCCATCCATTCGAAGTTCACTCATTCTTTTCGGGATTCTTTCATTTTCCATTCCTCTTATGTGGCCAAACCATCTCAATCTCGTCTTCTCTACTCGTTCTTTCAAACTTTCTTCCACTATTCCTCTTCTCAGCACTTCATTCCTCATTCTGTCTAATCTAGTTTTACCTTTTATCCCTCTTATAAACGTCATCTCCCCTGCCTGAACCCTACTCCATTCCCTCTCTGTTATGTTCCAAACTTCAGAACCATAGGTATATGGTATATGGTAGGCTATGTTTGTACATGGTAACTTTAACTTTCTTTGGTATATCCTTATCCCAGACTAAATGTCTAATACATTGGTAAAATCCTGCACCTTTCCCCAGTTTTGCCGTCACCTCTTGTGCCATCCTTCCATCGTTCGTAATCACCGTGCCT